AAAGTACAGCCTGCCTTTGATGGAATTTCATCGTAAATATAAAACGAACCATTCCCAGATCCAACAAATGAGGTTTCTGCGTGGCCGTTCAAATGTCTCACAGAAGGCACATTAGCGTATTCGGATCCGGGATTAGAATCAATGGAACCCACATCCGATCTGAAAATACGTTTTGTAAAATAAAGTGGTTGAAAAATAGAGCCACTTACCTAGCTCCAGGTGACATCCTAGTGAATCGCTCGTTCACGGGCTCAACATCGAAACACCGAACGGCGTAATCCGCAAAGTAGGACGCTTCTCGGGGACTAATTAGCAAGTCGCCATATCTGTATTCAACAAGATTTTGAAGGCACACTATCACTTCCGCCTTATTGTCCACACAACTATAGAATTGAATCTGTCTGAACGTAGAAGGATACCTTGTGGGTTGGTCGTCAGGCCAGTATTTGGTGCATTGTTGACGGTTCTTTTCGAACAAATTTGCGACCATGACAATCAATCTTGAGTCTTGTTCCCAGATCATTCGCCAAAAGTCCGCCACAGTTGTGTCAAGTGGGGCCTGCGCTGCGATGAAAAATTTGCGACCATTCCAACCCTAAATGAAATTGGTTTCAACCACTGCACACAAGTTATTCGAACTGTCGAACATTTCACTTGTAATTATCAGTTGGGCTGCGTTCATACTTAGCACCAGCGTCTTGAGCCTGCGACAGCTTTGTGGCGACTAGAAAAGTATGGACATTGATCCAAAGTTTGTACAGGGACTGCTCACGATAAGAATAGTCAAACTATCCCGCAAAATGGAAGAGCCTCGAAACGCTGGATCGAACTCGTATATTCTCTAGTCGCTCAAAACGCGTCGCCACGCTAGACGATACATACTTTCCTAGTCGCCTCGCAACGCTCGCATACCCGCCGTCGCCAAGAACGCTGCCGGTAACTTGACGTCCTCAAGATCTCATGCCTTACTTTCCAAATCGTTGCGAAACACAGAAGAACGGGGCGTACGCTGAAAACCCAACAGAACGCTGGACGCGAAGTGTGAATGTACTAACCTAAGACCGATGTTTACAGTCCGCTAAATTGTTAGCTACGCGTTGAGACACGCGATCTAAAGGAGCTCTTGGCTCGGGACCTAGATTCCGACACGATGTTCGGACACATGCGCTTCAGCAGGCGAGAATGCGCGAACTATGAACGCATCTCCCAAAAAAATGGTGAAAAAGAATAACACTGATTGGAAAACAACCCTTATCATTGCGTGATGTAGTTCCGTGCCATCATCGTTTATCACGCGGTGCTTATACACGAGTCGCATCGAAGGCACGTATTCATTATACTGGCAAAACATAAAAATGAGCCCCCTCCTTGCCAGTGCAAAAACGTCAAAACGCGGTGAGACGCTTCGGATGGATGCTGAGCAAAGGCTTATGAACCATCTAGGTGTCAAAATATACCTCGAACATTTTTAATCACCCTGAGTAGTTGCCAATGTAAAATATGACATTAAATAAATGTTTATACTAGAAAACATTTCGAACACTCCACTTGAATTAATGATCCCATGAAAGCCAACTTCAATATTTACCATACCATTCTTACCAGCGTTCCTCTTTCGAGCACTAGCAACGCGCGAGCTATAAGGGGAAGTGCCTAAAGAACCACTACTATACTCCATGCAAGAGTAAAAGCCATCAAAATAAGTGCCTTACCTTTCAAATCTGAGCAAAAAGAAAGTCCGAATCTCGGTGCCTCATGAGATATTCGGAAGGCAAATCGTCAACGGCTATCGCGTGGTAGGTAGATGGGCGAAGAAGAGTTCGTTCGGCACCCATCGACGACTGCTTTGACATCCACAGCCAGTGACACCATTGTGAGATCTCGCCACGTCTGAAGTATTACTGAGTCTGATGGCTTCGCCATGAAGTAATAAGCAGTATCAACTGTACAGTTTCCACTGTTCTGCGCAGGATAGAGCACTCTTGTGCCTTGCATGGGAGAGTGCAAGAATCAAACGAAAAGCTTGCTTGCCCCTAACTATTCAAACCTATGGCATACATACCTGTGTAATACAAACAGTCCCATAACAGTAGCCATCGTCAGGAATGCCAGCAGCGGCACAAGCACAGTGAAAAACGCTCCAAGCATACTTCTTTCTGAAATTCGTCCACAGATGTGAGCAGATACAAACACCACTAAGGAAGAGTTTAGGTAATAATTACCGTCTTCAGGCTCCAAGAAAACCGGTTTGAAATAACCACTGAAACCATACGCTGGACCACTTAGGTGGAGCTGACGGTAAGCACGTGGTCGCATGGGATCCAGACTAAAAATATAACCCACGATATGGAGCAAAACCAAAAGTATCAGTCAGATAGCGAATTCATCTCTCACATTCTGCTGTAGTGCGCTCCCCCTTGAACCTCATCCTTGTCGTCTTTGTCAACCCTCACTATGAGGAAACCTGTGTATTTCAACCCTGGTCGCAAAACCACATCTTCTGCCTTGTATCGACTCAGGTACCTAAAGAAAGCAAGCTTATTCCCCTCAGTTAGCATGAGAACACACTAGCTACTCACAGCACGCTGCAAGGTTTCATCCCAGATACACCACGACCGTCTCCAATAACTGTATCCACGGGATAGTCGGTGTAGCTTTCAGCGATGTACGCAAAGAATCTTTTCTTTTCAGCTGCCAAAGCATTCAGGTTGTTATTGAACGCCTGCAAATCATTATAATTAATTAAGGCAGCAGGCATGATTGCTGGGGGCGGGCGGTTGTCTTCAATGTCATTGGTGGAAGGGCTTAGCAGGGTATAGACAAACACCTTTCCACCAATGACTCGGACAACAACTGCCCGCCTCGCTCCACTGCATTCAAGTATGCAGTATTAGAGATCCTTAAAAGTTCGCTATCAAAATCGATCCAGAAATTAAAAAAACCAAATGAATCACCTTGGACACCGTATCCATCACAATTTCTTGTGGGGGTGGAAGCGTTTCCAAAGACACATTCCTCAGCAATGGAACAATGCCAATATAATAGAGTGCTAAATGAATACAATTAGTCTAAACTACGCTGTATAGCAATATCTCAACCTCTTCTTTCATGTCCTGCCAACTACAGGCCAATTAGCCTGACCTCAATCTTTGCCAGAGTCTTTGAAAAAATCATCAAAAAGTACTTGCTTGACCACATGGAAAAGAATCACATTCTAACTGCATTTCATCATGGCTTTTGCAGCGGTAGGTCTATTGAAACCTCTCTACTCAGCTGTGTAAATGACTGGTCCAAAGCTCTCGATCAAAGGAAAAATGTGGACGTAATTTACTTTGACTTCATTAAGGCCTTCGATAGGATACCACATAATGTGCTAATTCATAAACTTGTTCATTTGGGTTTCCATCCACTGGTTGTTAAGTGGATCCAGGATTTTCTGGATAACAGAACATTTCAAGTTAGGGTCGGGGACTCGTTATCAACTGTGCGTGAGGCATGCAGTGGTGTACCTCAGGGAGGTGTGCTCTCCCCCGTACTGTTCAACATTTTCACAGCAGATCTGCCGGATGTTCTGTCCAATCCAGGTGTTTCATGCAATTTATATGCTGATGATATCAAGATTTATAAAGTTGTTCAAGATGTTGAATCAGACTGTTCACTACAACTAGCAATCAATAAGATGGTGGATTGGTCCAAGGCTAATGGTTTGCTCATATCTTTGGATAAAACCCAAGTGATGCGTTTGGGTGAGCATCAGTTGAATCCTAAGTACTCAGTTGATTTTGAAGTCCTGAGGTCCGTAGAGGAAGTTCGAGATCTTGGGTTTCTATATGACTACAAGTTGAACTTTAGCAAGCATTATAAGGCTCTAGTGGGAAAGGGCTTGCGGAGAATCTTCAATATTTTCAAAGCACTTAGAACTAAGGACACCAGCTTGCTGTTACGAACTTATAAACTTTACGTTCGCCCTATTTTGGAATGTGGGACAACAGTTTTCAATCCCCACCTGAAAAAGGACATAAAGGCTCTAGAAAGTGTACAGAACAGTTTTACTCGTAAGTTAATGCTCAGATGTTCGGGGCTTAGCTATTCCAGTATTCCTTCTGGCTCTGTTAGGAATTCCTCCTACGGTCTCAAATCATTGGAATGGAGGAGGAAAAGATATGACTTACTTATGACCTTCAAAATTGTGAGGAACTTGGTTAAATTAAATGTTCATGACTTTTTCAGTGTGTTGCCAGCTAGTACAAGGGGAGCTTCGTTTAGATTGACTGTAACCACTGCTAAATCTAGATATCGGTCGAAGTTCTTTAGTAGTAGAGTGTGCTCCTATTTCAACTGTCTGTTACGTTCTAATATATTTCCTTCTAAGTATGCCACTTTCAAGAAACATGTTGGTGAGTATGTTTAAATGATCTTACATTATCAATGTTTTACCTATTTGCTGGGTTTCGTTATGTTTGTTTTTCTTTGTGTTTACATGTTTGTTTGACATGTCCGAATAAATAATAAATATAAATAAATAAGGACGAACAAATGATGTGTGAATTTATCTAGACAAAAAGAGTAGAAAGAGACAATGCGACAGATATGCGTGTGCATAGAGCTCAATGCACACGATGTTCAGTGTTTTAAGTTCAATTACCATCTGCGCTCATTTTCGGGAGACACAGTGGGTGTGCTCCAAACTCCATTTAAGCCTCTCATAAGACGTGTTTCCCATAGGATATTTCTGACAACCGTCACACTGCTGAATAAAGGATAATTGCAACTGTCTCAAATCAGCACATCTCACAAGGAGCGTAGTCCCTTCCCTCCCAGGTGAAGCACGCAGCCGTTTCCAGCCCATTTTCTGGAAATGAGGTGCATCACGAGACGGATGGAGGGTTACGCTCTTGAGAAAAAAATCCTTCTCTTGTTGGAAGAACAACGTTCTCTTCTATAAACAGCACAGGAACTAGAAATGCATGAATGAATAGGAAATAAGTTGCAATAACATCCGAAAGTCACATGTTTAGCAATAGTACAAGGCTTTCCACTAGAAAATGCACAGACTTAGACGTTGCCCTCTACTCCCCCACTAATGACGTCACAAAGCCAACGCAGTTGAAAGTCAGGAAAAACGATGAAGCCACGATGACGTGGTGCAGTTCATTTATGGGTATTGGATGTCTGATTCAGAGAACAAAGAACATTGGACTTCCGGAACAAGTTGAACTACACGCGCTGATGTGAGCGAGAAGCGAGTAGCCCGAATTTTTGCGAAAACAACTTTTTGCGAAGCCGTTGACCTGTTAGGTAATACGCTGGCGACGGTAAGAGAGCTATTTTTAAAATTCTCAATCAGCAACAGGTAGCTCTGCCGCGAAGAGCCTACTTGACAAGTTCGAAGAGCAATTCCTCCACGATTGCAGAAACTTGAAAAGGCGCGTCATATTTCTGAAGGAAGAAAAGTATGAAAACAACGGCCTGCTGAAATGTTAGGCTCATCACAATTTAACATTGTTTGTCGCCGTTGTTGACTTGATGATGACGAGCCCTTGAACACAAATTCCACGGTCATTGCGCATCGAAGATATGAGAGTGCACTCATAGCCATTTTGCCTTCCTTATTGGTGTACTCCTACCTTTGCTAGGGCAAAGAGGAGTTCACCAAGGAGGAAGGCACAACCATTGGGAATAATTCCCTTCCCATTCGGTTTAACGCGGAAAGTGATTTTTTCTGAGCACGCTTTCTGTGGCCCACACAGGACCATTACAGACTCTCAGAAATACGATAACGGCTTCCCTGCTGCACCACGGAATCTGCACTAGTGGCAGGCAAAACGTTAGTGGCAATTGTACGATTCAGCCTCCTACGTTCTACTTTATGCAAAAGTGTATACGTTTCTCCATGAATAGACTATAATGGCAAGCTAAAACGATGTCTCTTCAGGACAGGGAGTTCCCTACGAAAGCTCGCAGAGCCTACCGGGCAGGGCAGGACCTGTATCTTCTTTTCATACACTTGCCAAATCACAATGGGGGCAGAAGCAACTTCAGAGACACACAGGTTCCAGGTCACATTCAAGGCAATACAAGCACAGCTAAAAGCCTTCAAATTGTATAAAAAAATGGTTAGGATGGAAGTTATGCAAGCTCGAGAGGGGGACTACTGTAACAAGTACACTCTAAAAGGACAATCCCATACCTCTGTCCTCTCTACCAGGCAGTTGGACCGTAGAACAAATATGAAGAATGCACTTCTCTGGAGAAGGCGCGTTCTCGTGTAAGAAGATCTATCATGGCGCATACGCAACCGGTTCACCCTTCAGCACACCCCCTCCGCTCCCCTACTTAGCACTCCGGCTCAACACCCTCAATAATTCGGTCCAAAAGATAGGAGAAATGGTGGGGTAACAGGAAAGATGCGTATGGCCAAAACATTCTCTCATGTTATCGAAACAATGGGCGGCAATTCTCCAACACGACTACGACTGTCCCGTAGAGATCTCCTTTGGGAATCCCCACCTCAACGAACTGAGGCGAAGGGCCACAGAAATGAAACGGTTATTGAAAGCTGAAACTTATGAAAAGAATATGGAAAGCGCTCAAATGAAAACGAAACAAAGCCGAAAATTAAAAGGGTCGCAGGCTGCTCAGAGTTCCGCGCTGCGCGCCTGTCCGCCAATACCGTGTAGGTTTAGCTAAACCTTATCATATTTACCTGCACCTCCCCTCCAAATAAGGCACCACTGTCGGGAATGACTGGACCCTAATAGAAGTCTGACTCATCGATCACTATAAGAAGCTAGGAGGGAATAGGTAGCAAAACAGTACAATTTCAAAGTTTATCGCTGAGTGCCGAATAAGTCAAAGAACCGGGATAGGACAGGCTTCGACTAGTTGCTCCCTAAGTGTGCGTGCGCTTGAATAAGCGTTGAACGGAAGTCTGATTTCACATGCTTGGACGACAGCCGCCCAACGCCAACTACTTTTCGCGAAAAATTTGATAGCTTCCTCAATGGTGATCGACCACGTTTTGACCCGATTTTCCGCTGAAAGAAGAGCATCACAGTTTTTTGCATTTCCGCTTTGAGCATTAAAGGCACGCCCGCGTCTAAACATGCGCAGTTTGTGCGCGCAAATATATCCAAAATGTCGAGTGGCATAAAGTAAAGGAAAAGCAGAAAAGAAACCGTTCCAAATGTCCCATATACAACCCCATGCTGAACTGCGCGTGTACGCGCATAAGGTGAAGGGCGTGGTTGGACGAGTCCTCACTTGCTAGTCTCATCTCTTTCTCCTCATCACCGCACTCTTACCACTGAAATGGAGCAGCGGAGGGATACCTTCGGAGAGTTGGGCACGACCAGTGGTCGGAGCCGTGGCCAGGTCGCGAGCGGACCGAACTTTCACAATGTCGGAGCGTGCCTTTGAAGGCATATGGCACGATAATTCGGTATTCGGTCTAAAATGGTAACAGGGTGCTACTAATGAGGAATGGCCAAAAAAAAAAACGAAGTGAGACGGTGAAAACCCGAACCCCGAAAATCCCTCGTTCTTTATGATCCTTATTTAACATACAGCGGGAATTAGTCAACAATATAGTCGTCACCTCTCGACTGATGTCATCAAAGTTGCTGACAGTTTCGTATCTAGGAGAGCCAGTAGGAGGAGCAGATAGCAGTCGTAGGGGCCTATGTCAGGAGAATATGATGAGCGGGGTCTGGTCTCTCACCCTTGCTCCTCAATAATTTGGTAGGTCTCCATAGCAGTATGGGGTCTCCGTCCTCGGGAACGAGGTGCCCCGAAGCTAGTCTCGGTCATTTTTCTCCAACAGTTTCCACGGGTTTCTGGAGCTGAGCGGCACAAATGGTAGCGGTGACCGTGTGTTCTTACAGGGCAGCTCGTTCTGCAGCATCCCCCTCGCGTCCCAGAAGCAGCACAGGAGAATCTTCTCTCACCAAGGGATACCCGGGTGCGCAGCGTG